ATCCCTCCGTCTGTTCCCCTGGACACTAGGTGGGCTATATGGAACAGCTAGAGGACAGGAGGGAGGTGAGAGTTAAAACAACAGCAGATAACGGAGCTAGAACTGTTGGCTTAAGTCCACTCTGAAACCCCACTCTTCCTCTAAACTTCGGTTGTGTGAGCCAATACATTTATTTATGACCATTTGATTGGGACTCTCTGTCAGTTGTAGTTGAAGTCATCCTGATGGATATGGCATTCTATAAAAGCTACACACCTTGGGGACCCTCAACACCCTTATCAGAATCTGTCTCTAGGACCTACTTACCCTGTGTTGCTTATCCTCTTTTGAAGAATGCTTGCATTGGATTTGATTTTTAATCTTTAGCCACTGTGGATGAGCTCACCTTGCCCTTTAGTTTGCATTGCTTCTTCCTGCCTAAGTCAACAGTCAGAAGCCTGGACACCCTGCTTGCATGAAAGAGGCCCCAGGTTTCCCAAAGCGCCCACTCATCCCTGCCTCCCAGGATCATTCCCAGCATGGCAGCTCGGCCAAGCCACAGTGTCTTCCAAGTACTACCAGCCCCTGCGCTGAGACCAATTTTCCTAGACCAAAAAAGTGCAAGTATGGAGGTTTTTAGCAGTTGTGCTGTGCTCTCAGCTTATGCCTTAGTTACTGTTTCTAAAATGATGCCTTCAGATGACCAGTATCCGCATCACCAGTCTCATGATCAGATGCTTGTTAGAAATGCAGGTTCCCAGACTTGCTGAGTAGTATTTCTGGGTTCACACCCTAACCTTACATGGTTATCTCCCACATTCTGCATTACTCAGCTTCCAGCCTCAGCATCTGATCAAACAGAGGCCACCGCAGTGAGAGCAGGGGTGGGGGAAGGAGACAGAATTAGGAGTTGAAGGGAGAACCCGGAAGTGTGATGGGAAGGTGCTGAATGGTTTCGGATGCACAGAGTGGAACTGTGCCTGGAGAAGATGCAAATTACGACAGCCATTTGCCTCCCAGCTTCCATGACTTTAATCTTCCTGCATGCTCTACTAGCTTTTGCTTCTGGCGTGATTTGCACCCAGACATACCCAGCATCACAATGTATCCCTCCATAAATCATAGAGTTGATGGCAAAGAACTAGGTGAAGAATAAAATGTCCAAGACCAAAAGGTCAAAGTTTTATAAAATGGCAATCTACATGTCACAAAAGTTTTGCATAAGAGTTAGTACTTTCACAAATGTGAAATATATTTTCCCAGCCCCACAGCACACCTCATTTCCCAAGTCCGTGCCAGTTCATAGTGCTCATTTCATGCTTTGTGTGGCTTTATAAGTTCTTTCCCGGTGAAAAAGAGAAGACCACCCACTTCCTTCCCTTTTCTTATGAAATATATTTACACAGTGACTGACACAACAGAATGCAGATTATAAGTAGAATAAGCCTAGAACTTCGGACTGCCAACTTCACTCAAAATTGGCTTTAGGAATACGTCAGACACAGCTGGAAAAAGTGTTCAGCGCCATTTTTTCTTTTTCAGAAAATGATGGAAGGGAATTTGAACCTTATTCTAGAATCTGTTTATTCTGGAATCTATTCAAAATAGACTTTTGGCAGTTCATTCTCTTAGACCCTCCGCATACTTAGAATTAATCCTCTTTTCTCTTTTATAACAAACCTACATCCTCTTTCCTGCCCCTACTACTCCAGTTCTCGTTGGGTATTTTTTGTTTTAAAGATTGAGAGAGGGAGGAAGAGAGAGAGAGGAATGAGCCAAGGGGGGCGGGCAGGAAGGGGCAGAGGGAAAGAATCTCAGGCAAACTCCCCACTGAGCAGGGAGCCCTATACAGGGGTTCAATCTCATGACCCTGGGATCATGACCTGAGCTGAAATCAAGAGTTGGTGGTCAACCAACTGAGCCACCCAGGCACCCCCTCATTGGATATTTTGACACCAAAGTCTTTTTCAATTTCTTACTCACAAAGGGCAAATCAGTCTGAGGTCTGGGACACTTAGCCACGATTCCAGAGCCCTATGCAATGGTCTAAAAAATTCATGTAATGGACTCCAATGCTGGACTGATTTCTTGGATTCTAGTTTTTAAATTACATTGGAAACACCAGAGTCAATTTATAATACATAGGGCTTTCATGTTAGAACTCAAAAGTCAGGTGTTAGCATCTGGGCCTTCTGATCACCAATGTCACTCCTGTTTCTATTCTCCAGGTTAGTAGTTCTCAAAGGGGCTGTGTATCAGAATCACTGGAGGAGTTTTTTCAAAATAGATTTTCTGACTCAAGTATAACATAAAAAATCAGGGGTTTTTTTGTTTGTTTGGTTTGTTTTGTTTTGCAAGCTCCCCGAGTGAATTTCATGCAACCACCCAAGTACCCAATACTGAAGACATTTAGGAAGCACTTCTCTGGCCCTAGTGGTTCTTGTATGTGCATCAGAAACACCTGGAGCCCTTATTAAAATACAGACTGAACCCTCAGAGTTTCTGATTCAAAAGGTCTGAGATGGAGTCTGAGAATTGTGCATTTCTTTCAAGTTTCCAGGTGATACTGATGCCGGTCTGGGGACCACACTTCGAGAACTACAGCTCTAACCCAGGTTACTTGCACACGTGTTTATTATTCATTAGGTTTTTTATTATGTAGCCAAGAACTGGGCTTCACAGGAAGGAATTATCCTTTCAGATCAAGGGTAACACACCCAGCTGAACATCATAATCACCCAGGAGCTTTTATTTTCTTTAACATTCAATTATTGGGATTAGGCTTATGCTTCACCTCAGATCTACTGAATCAACATCTCCAGGATGCCCTGGTAATTTGTATTGTTTTTGAAGTTACCCAGAAGGTTCTGATTACAAGGATTTGAAAACATTGCCTTAGATGAGCCAGACTTGTGAGTTTATGAATAACTTATACTAAAAATTATCTGAAATTCAATTTTAATAGGGCATCCTATATTTTCAGTTGTGCATCTGGCATCCCTACTCAGCTGTATTTGTGAACAGTTTATTTCCTTTGTGTGTTCCCTCTTTTGCTCAACACAGCCCTATTTTAAATGCTCAAGAGGGTTGTGGTAAGGAGTGAAATCCACACAAACATGTCAGGGTGAAGAAGAGAAAATTAAGATGTTTCCTCAGGAAAGAAACACACACACACACACACAAAATTTCATTAATCTAGACAGCAGAAACAAAATCAGAAAGAAAAAAACTACTGTCTGCTAATGGTTTTTTACCAGACGATTCATCAGTTACACAGTCAAAAGAAACCCTGGGGAATAAAAAGACACCAAAGTTGCCATTAAAATGTTCCAAGTGAAGCCATATATAATTAATTTCAAACAAGCATAAGCTATGAAAACTCAAACACTTCAAGGTGCTGAGTGAAAGGAGGGATAAATCTACATCAAGCTTCAAAACTGTTGCTTCCAGGTGAGTCTAAGATTAAGCCAGAGACAGGGAGATAATGATGTCTGCTCCCTCCCTGTTTTATTGGAAGCTAAAGAACCTTAAGAGGAGGTGCTCCCAGGGCATCAAGGACGAGAAGAAACAAATATACAGCCCAGCACCTGACATCAGCACATAACAACTAAGAAACTGAATTGAATGAGTGGAACAAAATCAAAACAGAGAAGAAAAATTCACTGATGCAGAAGACAAAGAATATAAAGGACGTTATTTGGCAAACCACCACATAGGCTGTATAACCACCATAAGTACCACGGTCCCTCCAAAGTAAGCAGGTTTCTTGTAATGCTCTTCTGCCATTTCATAGGTTAGGCACCAGCAAACTTCTACTGTAAAGGACAAGATAATGAATCTTTTAGACTTTATAGACCATACACTCTCTGTCGCATCTTCTCATCTTTGCTGTTGTGTGAAAGCAGCCATAGACACTCTGTAAATGAAGACATGGCTGTGTTCCAATAAAACTTTATTCACAAAAATACATGGTTGCTGTGGACTGAATGGTCGTGTCCCTTCAAAATTCATATGTTGAAACTTCAATTCCCAATTTCATGGTATTTGTATGTGTGGTCTTTGGGAGTTAATAAAATCATGAAGGTGGAGTGGTCATGAATGGAACCAGAGCCCTTATAAGGGACTAAAGAGACCAGTCTCTCCCTGCCCTGTATAAATATAAGTAGATGGTGGTCAGTCTGCAAACCAGGAGGAGGGCCCTCACCAGATCTCTGATCTGCTGGCACCTTAATCTTGGACTTCTTAACCCCTAGAACTGTAAGGATTAAATGTTTTTAAGCCACATAATCAATAGTGTATTTGTTACAGAAATCCAGCAGACTAAAAGTGGTAGGACATGTTTGGTTCATGGACCATAGTTTGCTGACTCCCACCATAGATGAGCCCACATAACAAGGATAGCATCATTAATGGATTCTATGGAGCACCCAGTGTTCTGATGGTGGATGCTCAGTTAAAAAACAAAAAACTCCATCTACTCATCACCATACATAAAAGGGCAGAGTGCTTGAAGGTCACCCCAACTGTAAAGGCAGGAAATCAGGATTCTGGAAACAGAAAGAAGTTGCTGAAACTGTTAAAAAAGGGAAAGATGAGACAAAGGGACCAAACATTTTAGCATGTTTTTAGAAAGGTTCACTTGGTGGCCCTGACATTCAGAGAAAAGTTGACCGTATGGGGGAGGGGCCTTCTTGCCAGTTTCTTTGAAGTTAAGCTGCTACTGCGAAGGGTGCATGATAGGAGGAGGTGTCATCCTTCTGCATCAGGAAAGCTTCCTGATTTTCTCAATTCACCAATTCGCATTTAACATCCCAAGAAGTGTCCTTTCCAAAAAGGGAAAGCTAGGTCACTTTGGCATGGAAGTTTATAATTTAAGCCAGAATATATCACCCATGGTGCATGGAAACATAACTTCAGTGACCTCCTTTATGACACTGGTAAATGTTTTATCCGAGGTCACCAGGTCAGTCAAGAAACACATACAAGCATGCATTCTGCATTGTATAATTTAAAAGCTTTATTTCCCCCCACATGAGCAAATGGGTTTCATATTAGTTCAACTGGAAGTTTTCTTCCTATAGCTAGTGGCCTTTCTCATTGACTATGTCATTGGTGGGGAGATTCCTTTCTCACAGGGGAAGGGTGAGATTTCATGGAGACACTGAGCTAATCACACACAGAAATGTGAGGGTCTGACCCAGCAGCTTCCGAAAGAGTCTTGAGGTCGACAAGTCCCTTCAGCTAATGGCCTGGGCAGGCAGGAACACCACAGGCTTACTGCCACCCACCCGTTGCAGATGCTGGGCAGGCTCCTCCCTGCGGAAGTGACAAAATGCAGCCCCTCTGGCCAGGAAGCCTGGCGATCCCCTCAGTTCCTGCCATGTTCCCTTCCCTCAATTCCGTGGCCTGATGCAGGAGTGTTTTAGCTCAGCAAACAACTGGCTTCTGCTTTGGGGTCCAAGGTGCACTCTTCAAGTGCGAGACTGGTCTTCACTCAAACGTTGTGTTCACACAGTTCGTGGCCGGTGCTTCATGGGGCGGTTTCTGCCTCTCCTAGGAACAGTGGCCTCGTATCAGCAGAAGCACGAAGACCCAGGCAAGCACTGGTAGGCAGAGCGTGGGGGCACCACTGCCAGATGTTCTCTGCGCGTGCATCACGGCGAAGACCGCATTCGTGTGGTTGGTGGGTAACTCTACATTACAGATCATGCCTTCACAGCAAGACCTACACTCCTGTCACAAAGGCAAGAGGAGAGGGGAAAGAGGGTGAGTGATGGGAAGGAGAGGGAAGGGTGAAGCAAAGAGCCACAAAATCAAGCTTCTTCAGCACTGAGATTAGATAGAATTAGTTAACCAACTCGGGGTGCCTGGGTGGCTCAGATGGTTGAGCGTCTGCTTTCGGCTCAGGTCGTGGTCCTGGGGTCCTGGGATCGAGCCCCACATCGGGCTCCTGGCTCGGTGGGGAGCCTGCTTCTCCCTCTCCCTCTGCCTCTCCCCCTGCTCATGCTCTCTCTCTCTATCTCTGTGTCTCAAATGAATAAATAAATTAAAAAAATCTTTAGAGTTAACCAGCTCATCCAGTCTACGAGACACTCAGGCCCCCTTGAGTACCTTTCCCCACCACTGACCCGGAAGTAAGGACTATCTTGAGAGTCTTTTCATTTAACAGTGATTTATCTGCAGCAAGCCAAGCATAAGCAAGGAAAAGAAGAGGAAGGGAAATTGAATAAGACTGCTTGATTGAATCAACAAATCTAAGGTTTGTAAGGAGAAACACTGAAACAAAAATGAAAGCTAGGAACCTTTTGGATTGGTCATTGATTTTCTTTCTTGGTACTGCTTGTTAGGGGATAATAATGACTCTCTATTGTCTATACTAACACCTGATTCCTATTGTTACAGCAGAATGGCTTGCTAATTATGGCTGCTGGGTGGTTGAAAAAGGCTTGTCCCCTCATGGCACAAGATGTTTTTCAGGGGAGGCAATCTCCTGTCAAAATACCTGGAACAATGCTTCAACCTGATAAACCTAGCTAGCCATTCATAGAGGCGTCCAGGCTGGCTAGCTAAGAAAAGGGCAGCGACTCGGAAGTACCTTTATCGGCAGCTTTCAACCCTGGCTGCACATGAGAATCTCCTTGGGGAACTTTAAAAAAGGAAAGATGCCTGGGTGGCTCAGTCATTAAGCGTCTGCCTTCGGCTCAGGTCATGATCCCGGGGTCCTGGGATCGAGCCCCACATCGGGCTCCTGCTCCGCGGGAAGCCTGCTTCTCTCCCTCTCCCACTCCTCCTACTTCTGTTCCCTCTCTCCCTGTCTGTCAAATAAATAAAATCTTAAAAAAAAAAAAAAAAAAGGAAAGATGCTGATGCCTAAGACCCCACCCTGAAGTTCTGTTTCAGCTGATCTGGGATGTTCCCCCCCACCCCACCCCCGACAATGAACATAGCTATGAAAGCTCCCCAGGTGACTCTCCTATGGAGCCAGAGCGGAAAGCCACTGGTGTCAGAACCACTTTCTGTACACATAAACTAAATCAAATTCTAAAATCTCATGAAATTCATATACTTTTCAAGTAATTTTTACAAACATTTCAGAATTCCAGGCATATAAAAGAGGAAAATTGCTCATTTAGAATGAGAAAATCGAGATCAGGTGATCTAAAATCTATCCATAATTCATCCTATTAAACAGATTCTTTCAGACTCACTTCCTCATCTAAGCAGAGGTGGGGGGCAAGACCAGGACTCCTTAGTGAAAGGGGTCCCCATTTCCCTCTTTCCACCTTCCACCTTCACTGGCCAGTGTGCCCTGTGATACCTGGCCATAAAGAAAATACATGAGCTGGGCTCTGTAGTGTTTGCCATTCTCTCATGGATGGTTTGGTCTTGGGCTTCCAGAGCAGACTTCAATCTACCCAAAGTCCGAGGTCCAGGGTGTAGCTGTGTGGTTTGGGAATTAGTATTTGTTTCTAGTAACGTTATTTTTTCTTGAAGGACAGAGAGTCTTCCATTTCTTTGTGGTCTCCATTGCATCCCTGTCAGGGAGTGTTTCCACAAAGAGTAAACATGTACACAATCTGACTTATCCTTCCTGCCTTCCATAATGTATAAGTAACCATCAGTTACAAAAAAAACCCAGGAGAGAAACTTTACACACACACACTCCTTACTGTATGGTCAGAATCTCGGCTGTGGTGGCAGCCCACAAAATGACATTCACTTCTGGAGGCACATTTTTTGGTAATGGATGTACTTCTTCCATGACTGGTAAAGTGGTGAACTGTCAGACAGTACTGTGTATCTAGGCAGGAAGGAAAAAAAAAAAAAGCAACCACACGTTTCACATTGCAAAAGAGAGACTCAACAATCACTTCGGAAAGGACTAAAATTCAGGACAATCCTTGGGTTTCAAGGCAAGAGGTTTAATGGCAGGAGTGGACACCTATCCTTTGGTGCCCTCTAAAGCTGACCTTGGGTCTGCTATTTCATATCAAAGTGCCTGTATCTCTGTCTCTCTCCCTCTGAAGCATGGGTTCTAGGACTCTATGGAATGGAAGGTGTAGACGCAAAATGTAATGGGTTAGAGCACTTCTTGGTGTATTATTCAGCATTTGTTTTTTGTCTACTAAGAGACATGTGGTAAATGAAAAGCAGGTGCTTTAAAGTATACATCAAGACCACCTTCCTGATGCACCCAGTTCTTACCCACGCTCTAATCCTCCCAGAGTGTTTGACTTTTCCTGAGTATTCCCATTTTTCTCCCCTTTCTTAACTCTAAATCTCTGTCCCTTCCCTGCCACACAGCTCGCTCATTTCTACAACTGTCTGTATGGTTTTAAGCACTCACGTTTTACTACTTTTAAAGAAAGTGATTTCATTCAATATCCAAGGAACTTCTGCTTTAGTTTTGCCTCTCTCTATAGTGATCTCAGGCCAGTGCAATGCTCCTTAGTTTACTGAGAATGGACTAGAGCAGCAATGCCATAAAATGGGGGGAAAACTTGTTTAATACGGAGAACCCTTGGCTTCACAGAACTGCCTCAGTTACAAGTGAGCCCCATTAGGTCCTTCAAGCTCACTTACTTTTGAATAAGATGATGTTGACAAGTATGCTGACATTTTGATACGGTTGTTGTAAACTTCAAATAATATTAACACATACTGAGGGGATACCACCAGCTAGGCAATCTAGCATGTATTCACACAGTCAATCCTTACAATAAGCCTTAAGACAAGTCTTATTAATATCATTTTACAGATCAAGAAAAACAAAGGCACAGTGTCTTGCCCATGGTTACATTAGGTAGAAGGTGGTGGAAGGTAGGATTCTAACCTGGGCAGTTTTCTAGGGCTTGTACTCTTCACCAGAACACTATTCTGCCTCTCGGCATACTTAGTATTAAATCACATGATGGGGTAGGGCACTCGACACAAGTAGTTGACTTCCACATTCGGAAGGAAAAGGAACGACTATAATGTTTTAGAAAGGCATTTCAACTTAGACTTCAAACAAAGGAGAGCTGAAAACTGGTAGCTGTGTGTGTTCCTATAAAATGTCACCCATGCTAAAGCAGCCCTGGAAAGTCAGAACAGAAGCCAGGGTAAATAAAACAAGACATGTCATTCTTGTCATATCCTGTTACACAGAGAACCGCTCTTAACAACCCTGACAGACCACAGGAGGAAAACTCGAAGGGGAAAGGAAACCTGGGATGACAAAGAACAAGAGCTGTGGGCCTGTTCACCCCAAGAAATGGTTGACTATCACTCTCCTAAATAATGGCAAATTGTACAAAATTACACCCTCGGTTAGAATTCCAGATGGTTAGTATCTTTGGGGCTTGACTGAGTACAGTCAAGAATGTTCCATCATGCACACTGGAATGAGGGGGTTATTCCATGGCGAGCTCTTAAAGAGTCAGGTGTGCAGGGGGGACCTGGAAGAGCCCACGGGCTTCACCTCTCCCATCTCTGACCTTTTCTTGGTGGTAGAAAGCTGCAGCATTCCTCTTTTGTTCACCTGTTTCAACAGAGATGAAATTCTAAAACCCCAAATATCCATGCGCATTCCCATTAAAAATGGCTTTGCTTAATAAATGACAATTTGAAGTGTTATGCACAGACCTAGTGGGAACAGTGTTTTGATATAATTCAAAATAATACAGTCCGTGAAGATAAAACACAAGAAGTTGGACATCAATGTCCCAACTGACTACTGTCTTAATTCTTAGCACCGAATGTTTCAGAGGAATTTAAAGCAAATAGGGAAAGAATGATACCCACCCTTCTGAAGTAAGGTAATAAAGAAAGCATTGGCCAACCTTGAAAACTATGAAATAATGAAGATATATTTCTGTGCAAAATGTAGAAACACATCTCCAAATGCATAACATACGTACATGTACTCAGAAGCACATACCCAATTTAGGGTCACTCTACAGAAATGTAAAAGAACCTCAAGAAAAATTATAACAATTACTTTTGAAAAGAAATCATGACGAATACTGCCAAGTAGATGTCAAACCATTTGTGCTAATTTATAGCATCAGATTCTCAGGCCCCATAGAGGTCTGCCGTGTGGACTATTTATTGGTGTCACACACTGGCTTTCTCTGGAAGAAGTAAGGGTATTTCACTGCTTTATAGAACATGATACAGACATTTCCAAAAGAGTCAAGGTAATAGTAGACCAAAACTGGTAATCTTTAACTCTGGAAGAGATGGTTGGTTTGTTGGCTTCTCTTAGCCTTTCAGGTTTGAAAACCGAAAAAAAAAAAACCCAGTACCTCCTAAAATCTGAATAGCCTGATCTTCTTATAGCTCTAAGTAGAGCTTTCCAGTTCCAAATCCCCCATCAGCACATCGTCTGCCTTACCGCCAAGTTTGTATATATTAAATCATTGAACTTCTTGTCCCTCGATTCTTACCACCCTAGTCCCAGTTGCCATCTTCTCTTGCCTGAAGACAATGAAAGACCCCACCTGGTGTCCCCTTCTACTCATCCCCAGCCACCCATGCTCCACAGAGCAGCAGAGCAGTATTTTAGAACACAACTAGAATCCTGTGCTCCCCTAGCGTATAACCCCCTACCGCCTTCCCATCACATTTATAATGAAATCCAAATTCTACCAGAAAAAGAAGATCCTGTGTGCCCCAGTCCTTATTTCCATGAGACTCTTTCTCTATCTGCTACGAAGCCTCACTGGCCAGTCTTCTTCCTGTTGATTGAAGAGGCCAAATCTTGTCTCCTACAGACTTTACATTTGCTGTTCCCTCTTCCCGGCATGTTCTTTCTACATATCTCCACATGGCTGCCTTATTTTGGTCAGTAAGGTCTTAGTTCCTCAGAGACTTCCCTGACCACCTAATCAAAGGTATGCATTCATTCTATCAACAAATATTTACTGAGTGCTTAGTATGGGCCAGGCAACTAGATTAGGTACTAGAGATGCGTCAGTGAACTAAGCAAACAAAAAAGATATTCAAATGTTTGTCAAATGAATGAATGAGTCACCAAAGCATCAATGTATCTCAAGAGTATAAAAACCTTTCTTTGCGTTAGCCAGTATGTGTGACTTTTCTAGAGGTATCATCAAGCATTTCTGAAATTCTTAGGATGCCTTAGACAATATTGTGGTCTATCTGTTCTGCCTGATAATTATTATTTAAGAAATTATCCTTGGAGGCACACACATCGACAAACTGAGGATATGCCACCAGTTTCCAAATACTCTCAGAATAGTCTAATATCTGCATAGTCTCCTAAAAAAATTTGATTTATACAGAACATCATCAGCCTGTTGATACGCTAATCCCATTATATAAAACATGTCTGCTCAGGGTCAGTTAAGAGAGACCTAAATGAGGTATGATCACAAGAGCGTCTTCCAAACTCAGCACACTTACTTTGTGGACACCATTTGTCTTCTGCCCATCGATTGCAGTTATAATTATCTCCTGCATTTTCACAGGTAAAACACTTGAAGCTGTTTGGAAATGGCGTAGCTTTAAAGAAAAATGCACAGTGAAACAGAAAGATTACAAAGGACAAACTTTCAAACATCAAAGATGGCACAAAATTAGCAACTTTTGTTAGATCAAACAAAACGTACACACCATCATCCTGAGAATTGTTGTTGCTAGGGGGCTGGACGGAACTGCCAGACTTGGGGCATGTTCTTTATTCCCTTTTCTTTAAATAGTTTGTCTACTTATCTACTAGGGAGTAATGAAAATGATTCCACAAGCCACTTTGAAATATTGTTCCATTACAATTTATAACTGGGGAATAAGTGGGAGTTGAGAGAACGGGCAAGGGTGGGGATAGTATCAGAACCAATTATTTGGTATAGTGTGGCCCCTGAGAAGAACTAGAGTCAGGTCAACATGAGCTTGAATTCTGCTCTTCCCACTAAGTAGTTGTGTGATTTTTAGTTTCCAAGAAATAATAATATTTACAGTAATACTAACAATGTGGATCCCCATGACATGCAGAGAAATCATGAAGATTAAACAGGAGGTTGCAATAAAAATATCTAGTAGAGTCCCTGGTCCATCAAATCAGGCTAGTCTCCATCCACATGCACTTCCATTACAGCAATCTCACTTGATATATGTCAATTATCCCAACATTAAACCTCAATCAGGAATGTAACATTCTCAGGTAGTAATTCTCAGGCTCTTATGCTCAGGCGAGAGTGTTACAGAAAGCAGGAATTATGACTGCTGGCAATTTGGATTGAAAGCAACGAGAATGTCCTTTTTGTCTTCACGGTTTGTTTTTTTTTTCTACCTTGTATCTTGTAGTTTTAATGGGCAAGAAGTCGAAAGTATAATAAATTTGACATTTCTTTATAAGCCATGATATAAAGCCTTGTGTAAAACTTTCAATTCTTCCATTTCTGGAGAATAAAACAGATAAAGATCAAGGAGAACCCCAAACCATCCTAGTAACCTGACAACATGTTGGTCAAATATATCTTTTTTTTTTTCATTTTTTTAAATGATGTTTTTTTCTCATCATAAAATTGTATTAGTCTTAAAAATTTGAAAATGTGTAATTTAGATTTTATGAAAACTGTGTGCCATGTCATTAAGCTATTAGTATATAATCATTACCAATTTAGAAATGCATAATAAATGATAGTTCAAGGTGTGTGTGGTACACATGTGTATGTGTGTGTGTGATATATATATATATGTATGCACATGCACATACAATGTCCTAAATAATAAAAAAGCACAACGTAAAGAAGAGTAACGATAGAGGCTTCATTTAGAAATAGTACAGGGGCATCTGTGTGGCTCAATCGGTTAGGTGTCTGACTCTTCATTTCGGCTCAGATCATATTCTCAGGGTCACGGGATCGAGCCCTACATCAGGTTCCACGCTCAGTGGGGAGTTGGCTTGAGATTCTCTCCTTCTGCCTCTCTCTGCCCCTCTCCCTGCTCGCATGTGTGCACTCTCTTTCTCTAAAATAAATAAATAAAACTAAAAAAAAAAAAAAGTAGTATAAATACAGTGGTTCCTAAACCTGGCTGTGCACCAATAGTATCAGGAAAGCTTTTTTAAAAAGAAGAGGGGGTCGGGGAGAAAAAGAAAAGAAAAAAATAATCGGCATCCCACCCTTCTGACTATTGAATCTCTGCAGAAGGGACCAAGGAATACGTAGTTTCAAGTCTTATATCCTGATTCTGTTACTCTTCCAGGTGTGGGAATCACAGACTTTGGTATTTCTACCAAACAATTGTTATCTATAACAACCTTTCTCTAATAAAGTATATGAGGGAAGTTTTACTTGTCTGAAGAGAAAGGAAGAGAGAGGATATACGTATACAAGCACATATATACACATATATGTATATAAGGTGCAGAGTCTGCTTGAGATTCTCTCTCCCTCTCCTTCTGCCCCTCCCTGTTTGCACGCTCTCACTCTAAAATAAATAAAATCTTTTTAAAACATATATTTATTTTATCCTATAGATGATATTCACTGATAATTGCTTTTTAAAAATAATTAGTGGGGAAGTTTTCTAATGGTGACTGTGCATATTAATGAAAATCCAAGTAGTTATTTCCCTCCAAATTTCAAACTAATCTGTTCCAAAATTGTTAATGACCATTTGAAAGAATGTATCATTTATGGAGAAACTTCCTACAGCCAATATCCTTCTCCAACAAAGGGATCAACAAAGAACACTGAATTTTCTCTGCTAAGCTATTTGTAGGAACAGTGTTCAAGAGATTATTTTAAACAAGAACCCCTTTGAGACTTCAACAGAAAACCAAGCCATTTCAAAGAAATGGAGCAAACTTCTGTCACCATGAATTACCCCTCCCCAGGGAAGCAGTGAAGACTTCCTGGTTTATTCTAGGTATAACCCAAATGTTCCAGAGCAGGCAAAGTTAGGATAGGTGAAAAGAGGGACTTTGAATAGTCACCCTGACCCCACAGTCGTGAACTATGACTCAGACCAGTACTTACGGTCCAGAGGAGGCCTCACGTTGTAGAAGTTGATATTCTTGGCCAATGCCCAGTTTTCTGACAAGATAAAGATCTGGACAACAGCTACGGCCAGAGCCTGACGGAGGGGCAGCATTCTGACCTTGGTTGTGGGAAAATCCAAAACTCACATATCTACAATGAAGACAGAGACTGGTTGCATTTATTTGCATTTTGTGTATCAGCAGGAGTATGTTTTGCTTCCCTTTGGAAAGCCTGGTTATTCAAATACATTCCACCATCTACTTGCAGGGCCCATACCTGTGAGTAAATGGCGTTCTTCCCACCCAGGGGAAAGTTAAGCGATGACTGCCTTCTACTGGTCAGGCCTCGGCACTAGCCAGCCCACCTGAAGTAGGACACCCCAAGGCCTTCCAGGCTCAGGAAGAGCAAGCAAGCAGCGTGGGCATGGCTGCACCCCATTCCCTCACTGCCTGAGGCTGGCTGGGGTGCTTTGTGCTGAATCACCCAATCTCTTAACGACTAGGGTTCAGAGCCATGGCCACCTGAAGTTACCAAGCCACCTTTCTGTCAATGCCATTCCCTGAGTAAACACTCGGGTTTGAGAAATTCTGCAACGTTCTTTTTTTTCTCATTTTTTTTTAAATTTTATTATGTTATGTTAGTCACTATACATTACATCATTAGTTTTTGATGAAGTGTTCCATGATTCATTGTTTGCGTATAACACCCAGTGCTCCATTCAGTACGTGCCCTCTTTAATACCCATCACCAGGCTAACCCATCCCCCCACCCCTCCCCTCTAGAACCCTCAGTTTGTTTCTGAGTCCATCGTCTCTCATGGTTCGTCTCCCCCTCCGATTTCCCCCCCCTTCATTTTTCCCTTCCTGCTATCTTCTTCTTTTTTACTTTTTTTTAACATATAATGTATTATTTGTTTCAGAGGTCCAGGTAACAAAGTGTTCAAAACCTGGAAGAAACCATGAGAGTTGGAGCAGTGAGAAGCATGGTGCATAAAAGAATAATGAATTTGAGAAAGAGAGTCTCATCAGGATCCCAGAGCACAGAGACATGGAAAAGAGAATGGAGTCACTGTAAGAATGCCATCCCCACCTGTGTCTCTCATACCCCGTGCAAGAAGCTGCCAGGAGGTTCTAGAGGAAATCGAATAAAAGTTCTCTGAAAAGCTGAAAACCACATAATGTTAGTCCTAGCCCACAAATACTACTCACAGCTTTCAAAGACTTAAAGTAGGCAGGTTTGGTACCCAATGAAAGAGATGTCCACAGAGCACTGAGTAAGATAGTTCATCTTAAGTCCCCATAGGTCCTACCCTCTAGAAGCAACCTGGTAGTAAGAAAATCTTTAGGAGAGATGCTAAGAACCTATATTGTCACCATAAACAGGTTCTCTTTGGCAAGGGAGAGGTGTGGGCAGCAGAAAAGGATGTAACTTGGAGTCCAAAGACTGTGGTTCAGGTATTGGCTCTGCTATTTATTAGCTGCTTGACCTTGGGCAAGCTCTTTAAGCTCTATTAACCTCAATTTCCTCATCTGCAAAGTGGCTTAATAACACCCATTCTGCCCACACACTGGGGTAATTGTAAGCCTCAAATACAGGCTCATGTAGACTCACTTAGGATTGTGTAGGTAACAGCACTTGTAATCAGAGTCTGTGAAAATGCTAGAATCTTAGCGTTCAATAATATTGCCTGAACTCATTTTCTTCTTGCTGAATCAGCTGGTCTCAGTAGGTTTAGGGAATTTTTCAAAGAAGAAAAGTCTGATCTCTGCACATATGAGCATAATCCTTCATATGGATATTTTGTTTGAAGCCAGGGTAATAACGCACGGAATCTAGGGATTTTACCTCCCCCTCCTGTGTTGTGAGTAGATTGGTTTTGCGTGTGTGGCTAATAATGCCTATCTCTGGAGATGGAACTGGAGAGCAGACAAAATACAGCCACAGCATCCCCATCCCTACAGATGGCTGCTGCCACTGAGAACGGAGTCTCTAAGGAAGTATTCAGCGTAAAGGAAAACCTGGTAAGTTTCAAAAATCAATAGTGCGAAACTTTATACACTGCATTGCAGCTCAGGACAGAATGAGACCTACGGTTTCTATATTTTATATGTATATATTTTATATGAGATTATACACACACACATTATATATATATATTTCTGTCCTGGTTCATTTTAGAAACCAAAAATGACCTTTCAGAGTTATCAGATTTCTAAACCCTATTTTTATGCTCTTTCTGAAGAAAATGCCCATTTCTTACAGCTAACTGTATTATTCCTTACAGACAAGTCATTATACTGGTACAAGTTCTGCCTCTCTTACTCTCATTTCTCTGAGTTGGACTGTTCCATATTCATTGTGAATCTGGATCCCAGGAATGAAGACCCGGCTTTACACCAGTGGGGAATCTTTGAGTAGGGGAGACTAATCCCTCTTCCAAAAACCTCACATTCACAGTGCTCCAATAGCAATCCACATTCCTGTATAATGGAGATGCCTACGATTATAGCTTTCCGAGTCATACTGTCTACATTCAGTCCCTTTTCCATCACTAAGCAAAGATGGGACTTGAGACAAGTTGCTTAAACTTCCCAAGCCTCAACTTACCCATCTGTAGAAGAGGCACAACAACAGTCCCTACCCCAGGGTGTCAAAGCACGGACTAAATTACATCATGTATATGAAGCACTCAACTCAGTGCTGGGCACATGAGCCCTTTCTATCTAGGGCCTAAAGAGCATTGGCTCAAATACCTCCTTCCAAACGTACTCTCTGTGGAGCCTCGTGCAAGTTCCTTAACCTCCCCACACCACAACTTTTGCATCTATGAAATGGAAGTAATAATAATAACAACACTTACCTCATAGGGTTGTAGGAATTAAATTAGTTAAAACATGTGAAGCACTTGAACTATCTACTGAGTTATGTTCACCATTTTCTATTCCTCACTGGGTAAACATTCGCTGTGATGAACAAATCTCCAAATAGGAATCATAAGCCAGAACCCCTGGTTTGCCTCGTGTAATCTCTATGCAAGACAGAATCCCATTTCTTCATCCAACGTGGCATTATTGACATGTAGTACATAGAGAGACCTTGTTATTATTGGATCGCCAACGAGGTCTTTGCTCTCATGACGTCTGCATTTTAGAAGGAGAAGATAGGCAATGAAGATGGGAAAAACATAATTTCAGATAATTCTAATTCTGAGATAAGTACAATAAAGAGATGTGTTGGTGAATAGGAGGAACTACTTTACATATATGGTGGGCCCAGGATGAGCGAAAGCATCCAAGCAAAGAATCAAGGGAAAAGACACCACGGTCCCAAGACAGGAAGGAGTGTGCCTTGTTGGGGAACTCAGGAAGTGGCCAGTGTGACTGGCGCGTTCCCAGGAGGGGGAGAGTAGACAAAGTCAGAGGTGGTGGGCCCAGATCATAGAGGCAATCACAGGCCATGGCAAGGATTTGGGATCTAACAAAAAACAAGGAATTGTTTGGTTTTAGATTTATCTAATTTTGAAAAAATGCTTTGTCTCTGCAGAGTGATAGGTCCCAAATCCTTAGCTTTATTTCTAACTCCCGGAATAAAGGGATGCCAATGATAGAAAATATAGAGGAATTTAGAATTCACCTATCTGGGAATCACAAAGGCTTCTCTGAATAAGAGTAAGTGGATGGTAGATGACTTAAAACAACCGAATGAACAACACACCCAAGGATTAGATTTGTATTTTGGTTTCTCCATTCTTCAAAACAGCACGGTAGGGAAGGTGGCCTCATTACCGTTGTACAAGAGAGGTTCAGAGACCATGCGTAAAGATCCTAGCATGCTGCCTGGAACAGAGCATCCCCTCAAAACATTCCCACATAGCTTGTTCTAGCCTGCTACCCTTGAACGGTAGTGAAAAACAAACCGGAGGAATATTGTCTCCATATGGACTAGTGTCTTTTCATTTTGTTTTTAACTAAAACAGCATAGCCTATTCTATCAAAATTCTCCAGAACTGCAAAGGTTTCACCTGTCCAATCAGGAAAACACTAAATAAAAATGTCTCTTATTTTCCAGAGCTGGCTTTATAATCTATTCCCCTATCCTGCTTTTCCCCTAAGTACCCAGATCTATCTCTATCTATTCTGCCACGGATAGGTTTGTGTTAACATGACTGTTTTATCTTTCACAGCCAAAAGACATTAGGATAATGAAAAAGCAAATGACTAACTATAGTATCTGAAAGTTGTTTTACATTTAGAATCATTTCACGGAGTCTCTGAACTAAAAATCGTCTGCTGAGACTTTGCTGAGTAGGCTTTCCCTGCAGTCTCGGTTACAGAACAAGGTTACAGTAGAGCTTATATTTTGCTCCAGAAGGAAAAAGAAACCTTCATTCTATTACTCTCTCCAGGACCATCACATAGAGCAGAGTTCTTCATAGGGGGTAGGGGTGACCTGTGAGCTTCTTAGGGTTATTTGCAAAATTTTGTGTCTATACGTATTTTCCCCCTGGGCTGAGTATCTCAAAGGAATCTGAGACCCAAATGATAGTTAAGAATGGCTGCTTGCTGTTTCAGGATACAGCTGTTATGATTTGGTTTCCTTTGACTTAGACGTTTTTATATTTGACACTAAGAAAATTCCATACATACATTAGGTATGTGGTATACACTTCTCAAATTCAAGGGTAGCTCAAAAACATTCCTCCCCAGACAGAGTACATTATTTTTATACCTTTTTCCCAGCTGGTAGGCCTGGTCAGAAACCCTTCACCTGAGGTGCTGGCCTTCCATTTGTTTTATGATCTTCTCTTTGGAAAGTATAGTTCTTGCTCCAGAAGGCAGTGTGCTCCTTTGACAAAAGATAGGAGTGCTTTCTGCAAGGCACATTTGTAAGGGATACCACAAGGATGGGCAATGCTTAGGCCTTCCAGGGAATGGCAGGTAGCCAGATTTACAAATTTACAAAACCCATTTGAGACTTTGGCCTATTACTGCCCAGAGTAAAGGACCTACATGGCACTTGGTCCAGAAGCATGACTATGTCCCAGGTCTGAGTAATAATCATCATCAAATCCTTTTTGTGGCATTTTATGCATCCACAGAAAACATGCAAAGCTGATGGGGGCTTCAAGAAGCAGCACATCCTTGACATCA